ATGCTTGACAGTTCATGTGCAGTGCTTTTGTAAAGTTTGAAAAAAACATTTTTATTCTGAGTCTGAGACCACTAAATAAATAAATATATATATATATATATATATCGTCAACATCAAGTGAGAGGCTGAACTGAAAACGTAAAATTTATTTGCATCAAAAAAACATTCAATATTACATAGTCAGCATATAAATTTGAGCGACAAGTTTCAAAATGTCTTTGATTTTCAAAAAGTATTTGGTTTGTTCCTCTTTTGCTTTAATGGCAACAGCATGAACTCCACAAATTTGTGTAAAACCTGATGATCACATTCCCCAGCATTTGAGAAACATCCAAAGAGCATCTTGTGCTTTAATGGAAACTGTCTGTAGAGAATGACATGACATGATGAACGTCACATATTTACTTATTTAGTAAATTTATTTAAATAATTGAGTAATTTAAATAGACCTGTAAATACTGCAAAAACGTATAGTTCTTCTTAACTTATAATGTCATAACATTTCTTTTTTCTTTTTTTCAAATATATTATTTCTAGCTTTAAATAAGATTTCAAACTCCAGATTTTCAATATGGTTCATACTTTTAGACCTCACTGTATGTAGCTAGTAATCATTCATTTTGCACTACATAACACGTAAATAACATTTGATAGCAACAGAAGTAAACTATAGAAAAACCGCATTCCCACAAATATAGACCTCAAAACACCAAACTGTTAAATTTGGGTACAACACTGAATTTCTAAATTACATATAGGCCTATATACAATCGTTGATAAGTTTCTGCAAGGTGTGTATGTCCGCGCGCTCTGCCTGGTCGAACTCCAGCACCAAAGTTATGTTCAAAAGCAACACTGCGTAACCTAAACTACGTACACAGAAGCAAAAATCAGTTTACCTGTTTTCCTTTCTTTTCCGACGGCATCAGGGCACTGCAAAGACGTTTCCATCTTCCAGCGCCTTCCTTGGTAAAGTCGAGCCCGGTGTGCGCTCGTTCGCAGTATTTGTCCCATGTCCCGCAGCGGACTGTGGCGGGTGGGACACTTGGCACATAGTGTGCCGCTAACGCACTCGCGGTGCCTCGGGGCAGCTGCGCGTCCCTGCGTCACTGGCCCGTGGCAGCTGGAACGCGCTTGCGCTTTGCATTTCAGGACGCGCCTCCACAAGCTCCACTGAGTAGCAATGATTAAGTGAAAAATAATCGGAGGGCAGAGAGGTGAAATCAGTGCAAGTGAGAGACACTTTGACCACCCGTGAAGGCCAGTTAAAGGATTAGAACACTAATAAAAGAGTGAGATTAAAGATCCCTTGAGTTACTGCTGAAGAAGACAGAGGTCGGATGGATATTGTGAAAGAAAATAAAAAAGAAAACACCTATACTGAAAAGTTTGAGGGTAAAAAGAATTGTCGTCTCGCTGCTTTTGTGAGCATCAAGTGTGTAATTTTAATATTTAGAAATTATTTCAGGACGGAAGGATATCAGCATCGACATAGGCTACTGCAGTTACGTTACGGAGTGTTAAGTTATTAAACCATGTAAACAGCGAGTGGTTTGTGAACAGGTTCACTTCATTTAAAGTTCTTCTCCCTCGCGCAGCACCTGTCGCACGTGCAGAGGAATTGACAGATGATGCCCCCTAGAGGCCGTCAAGAGAACGCCGTTTTACTCTTTAAAGTATGTATTTTTAAACATGTTCACACTAAAGAAAAATACCAACGCCGTCACTTATGCCAAAGAGTATAGAATTCAAGTCAATATAAGTTCTTTGCTTATGCTCAGCGAAAAAACTATAAATGTATCAAGCATATGCAACAAGTTACATAATACAGTACATTCTGTCAGAAGCAGAAGCAAGGTGAAAATCAGGTAAAGACAAATATTATCTGTAAGTTTCACTGGACCGGTGCCTAAAATTAAATATGTAAATTCTCATTTCAAATCATAACTGACAAAAGTGAACGGCAAAGTCTGAGAGATTGTCTTTTTGAAGTCTTTTGATGAATATAGGAACATTTATTTAAGATTACATCAGGGCAAACTGATGTTCTATTGTTCGATTAATGCTAAAATAACAGGACACACTGAATCCGTTTCATTGTTTTGTTTTGTTTTTTACTAAAAAAACGTCACAAATACACACATAAAGTTATTAGCAAGATGATTCATTCCTAACTTTGCAAACATTTAAACAATATTTAACTCATTTTTATTTAAGTTGTCAAATTGAGTGGAATGTGCTGATTCCATAAGAATGTCTTTTCGAATGATTTACAGAGAAATTTGTGTAGAATATTGTTAGGTAAAGTAAACACTGTAATTATATACATAACTATATGAAAATGCCATATAAAAGAAATTAAATGTATAAATATATATGATAATTTGTTTGAACATCCAAATATTATATATCATATATATTTTAAGCCTACCCCTATGGCAGAGTTTGTGTCCCACAGTACATCAAAAAGACTGACATTTGATGGAGCAAGAGCTGAGCTTAGAAAAGAGATGGGAAAAATCTATCCCACTGGGAGTGACAGAGAGGACAGAAGTTGTGTTGTGTGATCTCCTGCTCCACAGCACAGTGCTTACACACACTGCACATCCAGAACTGGTACTCCGATATCACTCTTCCGTCACTATACAGGTGGGCAGGAAGTAATAAAAAGAGAGAAAATAAAAGACAAAGAGATAGAGATTCATTCATCAAGTCAGAATGCATCATCACACATGCTAGTTTAACCAGTTTAACATTGTTTTACAAACATAATTGGGACAGTTATTTTTGCTGACTCACATTTATGTTTTGTGCTGATTACTATTTACCTCATTACTGATGTAAATAATGTGGTTAATTATCTGGGCCAGATTCTGGCCCTTAAAATCCCTTAACTCAGATTCTGAATAAGAACAGGAGCACTTTGCGAACAAACAGATGTAATATGATTGTCATTCAATGAATTCAGACAAAATTAACCTGGAAATGTGTGTGATGTGTATATATCCTTTTGGGGGTTTGCAGAATGAATGATAATGGACAGCTTCAATGAGAGAAAAAAAGATACATTATCATAAAAAATGTTGGGGTAAGTGAGATTTTTTTTAAAGATGTTAATACTTTTATTTGGTAATGATGCAGCAAGTGACAGTAAAGACATTTAAAATGTTACAAAAATTATTTCAAATAAATGCTATTCTTATATTACAAAAATATCATGATTTCCAAAAAAATATTTTGATAATAAGAAATGTTACTTGGGCACCAAATCGGCATATTAGAATGATTTCTGAAGGATCATGTGACTGAAGGCTGGAGTAATGATGCTGAAAATTCAGCTTTGCCATCACAGGAATTAAGTTTTAAAATAAATTCTAATAGAAAATAGTTCTTTTAAATTTAAATAGTATTTCACAATAATATTGTTTTTGAATCATTTTTAATCAAATAAATGTTGCCTTGGTGAGCATAAGAGACTTCTTTTAAAAACATTTAAAAAATCTTACTGACTCCAAACTTTTCAACGCCAGTGATTTATTAAATAATCTTCCCACAGTTTTACTACAGTTTACAGGAGAAACTGTGCTGATGTAATAATTTGAATGGTCTGGAAATTTCCTGTCACTCGGCACACCGCAGTGATGCGGGCCTGCGTCATGCACGCCGACCCTTACGCCACTCATTTCACTCTACTTTACACTTGCCTCACTGTGACCTCACAGCTCTGTCTACCAGCCGTAATGAAGGATCCACCTCATTTATCGGTTAAACGGAGCCTGAGAAATGTTTCCAGTGGTTGTTCACTCAGTGAGGTTGTAAAGCACATCTGTCTTACCCATCAGTCTCGCTGGCTTTGCCGGGTGTCTCGAGGGCTGTGTTTGGTGAAGATCTCCAGGGCCAGGTCTTCATAAAGCTGCCTCTGATCTGGAGTCAGTGTTTCCAGAGATTCCAGCTTAATAAAGGCACGTGAGCAAATACCAAACGCACGGTTGGCAGATGAGCAGATGGCTAGCAGAGAGTATATCTCCACAGCAGGGATAATATCCTCATAGTCACAGAGATGGAGAGCTAGAAATAGAGAATAAAATAATTATTGAATTGTTTCACATTTGAGGAACAAAAGATTTTAATAAGACACACCTTTGCTGCTCACTGAATGTTAATTAAAAAAAAAGAGAATAATTTAATAAAACTGTTAAAAACACTTTTTTTATTAAATCTCAAATCTGAATATACATTTTTCATACTGTACAATATAATGATGTGATGCCTAAATTCACTTGTAGCAATTCTGATATTTGTTTTTAGTGTTTTATTTTTAATTTATTTAGAAAAATTGTATGATATTTTAATATTGGCCATTTATTGGTTATCTGTCATGACACGATAATAATGATCAGTTTCAGAATTTTAATATCAGTGCATCTCTAACTTAAATAGCTTTTAACAGATCATTTTAGGATTTTAATATAATTATGCAATGAAAACACTGCTAACTGAAAGACAAAAAAAAAAAGAACCCACACATACATCCATGCACACCTCTTTTCCAGGTGGTCCTGGATATGATGTCTGGATATGATCTGTGGTTTAAACATTTTGTCTAGACATTCGTGTAAGCAAACATTTTTTGCGAGTGTGTATGTGTGGAACGAACGCTATAAAGACTTCACTTTGTGTTTGTTTTCTCAGCTCAGGTGAGCGATTTAACACTTAATGTGAGCAGACAAGGCCAGACATACCATGCATGTATTCACAGACATTCACACACACAGATTTACAATATGGAGATCATTATTATTTTCAGCAAATGTATAATTATGGGTGAACTATTCCTTTAAGACAGTTACAATTATGTAAACTTCTGACAAACCTCAACAGATTGCACCTGAAAATTACAGACAGAAAATCATTTTAAAAACTGAACCCCTTTAAGAGACTAAATAATGTAGAAAGATTGTAATATTAAGTGTGTATATACTATCACAACTCAGCTTGGGTTTTAAGTGTCACCTGTCCTCATGGCCGCGTCCACCTTGCTTGCCTTCATACAGCTGTCTCTGCACAAGCAGAAAGAAATGATAGGCCTCTGCCCCACGCCAGGCGTCATCCAGGATACGGCTGTCTGAAGACGACTCATCTTCCTCTAACAGCCCTGCTAATGCACTGGTAGCCTGAAATAAACCACACACACAAATTACCCAACACTAGGCTGCAAATGAGCCCTTCATCACAACTGATTTCCTGCCCCTCTGATGCTGTCGGACTGTGAGTCAGGCTGCAGCTGCAGACCACGGCACAGAGAGTTACCGACTACCACAGCTCTTTGCAAAGATCACAAATAATAATAAACCTGTACTTGCTTAGTCCTGTACTAAATCTAAACTACATACAGGAAGCAGAACATCTGGAAATAGGTAACAGGAGTTTGGAGTATGTACTGTATGAGGATGTGTGAACAGTTAGAGTACCTCTGATTTCTTGCTCTTGGTTTTGCTTTGCTGTGAGCTTTTGATCTGGGTGTGGAAGTTCTCCACCAGCAGGGAGGCGAGCACATACAGCTTCTTCACTCGCAGAGGTCGCGTTCTCTTTTTTGCCTCTTCTTCAGCGATCTGAGGTGAAATAAAAATATCTAAAAATATTTTACAGTTACAAAAATGTCCCGACTTTAAATGTGAAGTGTGTTATTTCTATGCCACTAACAGAAATTACAATCTCTTTGTTTGGCAGCACAACTGGGTTGGGCACAACAAAATTGGTTTAACAAAAAAAAAACATTTAAATATTTTTATTATTGTCATCATTATTTTTGCAATTCCATCATCACTGGTTTCATAACCTGAGGATCCCCACTGAATTTTTTTTCTTACACAAGCTGATATTAACATACCTTAAACATGAGTTTGGCGGCATCCAGGAAGTGATGGGCTTTTCTGTAGAGCTCTACAGCCTCTAGAGTTTTGTTTTTCTCCAGCAGATGTGAGGTGTATTTGGACAGCAGTGGCCCAATTTCCTTCATACTGTGGTTTTTGGCAAGTTCAACAGCTTTATTCCACTGAAAAATGCACACAATTAAAATGTATTTTTATTGTTGCACATTTGTTACCATCATCAAACATCTAAACATCATCACAGACAGGTTTCCTGAGCAGATGAGTGTGATGACATTACAGCTGCAACTGGATCTTTGATTAGAACTGATGATGAGCACTGTGATCTCTCTGAACCTCTCATTTAAACTAATGACAGAAGCATCATTATCTCTAAATGACCAAAAAAGTCAAAGAAAAGGCAATGAGTCAGAATGTATTCAGTGAGGAGAGGGAGAAAGAAATGGGTCTTTTGAGAAATGCATATTAAATAGGGCTGTCAAAATCTTTAACACAGATAACGGATAATTATTATTTCATTCATTGTATGATTTCTAAAGATCTGATGATCAGAACTGTTGCAAGAGAAGCAGCACAAGTGTGCAACACTTGTGCAAGCACAACACGCCCCCACATGTCTACGTCACGATGTGGGAAGATTTGCATAACACTGCCCAAATGTTCACGCAAAGAAAGAAGGCGTAACTTTATTGTTGCTGCCACCGCCGCCGCCATGTTGTGAAGACGCTGTGTGTTTCATTGCGAAAGCGAAACTACTTTGTTTGGCCTTCCAAAAGAGGACACGACTAGAAATCAGTGGTTAAGTTGTATTTACAACACTGTTCCAGAACACTTCAACCCAAATATTCAGATGTGTGCAACACATTTTATGGAGGACTGTTTCCTGATCCTGGTAGAGTAGACTACAATGCCGGCTGTTCTGACTCACAGTCTGCAAGTATGTTTTCATATTTAAAGGATTTGACACTAACGCGAGTTTTGAGCAGTGTAGAGTAGCACTTGTTGTTTGTTATT